GTAGTGATACTGCCTCGGAAACCCAAGGAGGGGTCGCTATGAGTCGGGTCCGACTCGACGGCACAAAACAACAACAACAACATCATTATATTTATATTACAGTTGATGGTGGCCCTCAGGTCTTTGTTTCTCTGTTCATTTTCCTTCATTAGTTTTTCTTTCTGTTTGTCAGACTGGATAATCTCAATTGACTCATTTTCAAGTTAACTGATTCTTTTTAAGTCCACAATATCTATCTGGTTGTTTTTTGCCTTATCATTTTTATCTCTTTATCGATATTCTCTATTTGGTAAGTCATAATTGTCATACTTTGCTTATTTCTTTGAATATATTTAATATAGTTTGTTTAAAGTCTTTGTCTTTAAATAAATTCTTTAATCCAAGTTCTGAGCTTCTTCAGAGACAATTTCCACTGACGGCATTTTTGTTTGTTTCTTTCTATATCTTACAATTTTTGTTGAAAAGAATACATTGAAAATAATATAGCAACCCTGAATTCAGATCCCCCACCACACCCCAGAGTTTGTTGTTTCCTCTTTGCTGTTGTTTAGTGACTTTCCTAATCTAATACTATAAAATCTGTATTCTTTGTTATGCATGGCCACTAAAGTTTCTGCTTAATTAGCTTGTTGTTATTGTCGTTATGTGCCATCGAGTCAGACCCGACTCATAGTGACCCCTCCTTGGGTTTCCGAGGAAGTATCACTACGGAAGTAGATTGCCCCATCTTTCTTCCAATTAATTAGCTTAGTGGTCAGCTAATGATTGCACAGAGATTTTCTAAAATTCTTGCATTAATAAATCTCCCAGCCTTTGCTGAGGGTCTTTATGTGTAAGCTGGGGCATCCTTTCAACGTTCTTGCAGGCAGTTTACAATTCTGCCTCAACCTTCACTTCTTGCTTGTGCAAAGCCTTAAGGTCAGCCAGAAGTGACAACTTAGGTTCTTTTCAGGTTGTTTCTGGGCACATGCATAATCCTGGATATGCACAGCCTTGTTCATGAGTCTGGCCTTTTAGATTCCCAGGTCAGACTCTTATTATTCCCAGGCCAGCATCTTATTCTTCAGGTTTTCCTGTAAGTTTTTTGGTTAGCTTCTATTCTGGTTCAACTATTATTATCACTTCAGGCAGTTGTGATGTTAGATAATTGCCACTGATTGTTTTTGACAAATGCCAGGAAAAAGGCAGTTCTTCGTGAGTGAGATCTGAATCAGGTCAAATAAGGACAAGTCCTGTGGGTGGGGCTTTCTAGGGAACTGTCAGGTCAAATAATGACAGTTCTCTTGGGAAGAGGGTAGGGCTTTTGAGGAGCTCCAAACCCATTCTGTCCCCTCCACAGGCTGTTAGATTGCTAGTTTTCATTGTGATTGTGGCACTGTTGGTTTTCAAGGTTGGAGAGAACTGGGAAATTTAAAATGCTAAGAAGCTTTCTAGTTTTACTGAGATTGAGCTGTTTTTCTTGAAGAAATGCTCCTCAGATTTTTGCGAGCCTTTGATTAATTTCTAGAATTTGGAAAAAGTTAATTCTTGACAAAATTGGCCAGTGTTTTGTTGCTTTTATAGAGGAGCAGAGTTTTGAAGGCTTTGCTATTCCTGCTGATGTCAGTCTGTGTTAGCATCCAGGAATGGGGGTTTGAACATTGCCCTGGGTGAGTCCATAACTTGAGGGCTTCTGGGAAGCCTTTGGAGTCATGGATGGATGGAAAAGTTGCCTCCACCCCACAGGTTGGTTGGGACATTGGGCCCTGGAAGGAGCACCCTAATGACCCTGCTTTGTGTTTCTCTCAGGCTCCTTAGAAGAGAGGGAGGCCATGGCCCATGCCTTCTCTTTCTTGGATTATGGGAGGAAGTACACTGTACCTGAAGAAAAGCAACTTCTTCAGATATTTGTCCAGTCACATCCTGTGCTGCTGGGAGATCCTGTGAATTTTACTGTGACTCTGAAAAGAAAGACAGCTACCCCCCAGCATGTCACAATCTCAGCCTCTTTTGACCTGCAGTCATATACAGGCTTCAAGGTGGAACACCTAGATGTCCTCCATAAGTCTATAGAGATCCATGATGAAGGTACGCAAACCAGGGACAGAAGAGACCTCGAGCCCTGAGAAGGACCAGTATCCCCACCCTCTGAGATCTCTCTATTCTCTGTGGGTTACTTTCATAAACTAATAGACTTTTGTATGTGAGCAAACACAAATATTTATTGCATACCTACCAATTGCTGTTGTTGTTGTTATGTGCCATCGAGTCGGACCCGACTCATAGTGACCCCTCCTTGGGTTTCCGAGGCAGTATCACTACGGAAGTAGATTGCCCCATCTTCCTTCTAAGGAGTGGCTGGTGGGTTTGAACCGCCAGCCTTCTGGTTAGCAATCAAGTTACGAGGAACCCAGGCACAGAGGAAATGTGGGCCAAAGAGACTTCTTGAGTCTATCATAGAGTCAGAAATTGGGAGTTCTGGTAGTGTCTTTAGAAGGCTTCTTTTTTGATGAAATTTTCTCTCAAATATCCATCCTAATCAGTGAGTTGTAAGTACTCTGGGTATGATTTTGAGAATGAGTGTGAAGTCCCAAAAATAATAATGATGTCTGCCATGGACTCAGGAGGGGAACCTGGAGAACATGGCCAATTATTTTTCCATCTTGAGCCCAACTCCTTTTGTGGAGAAGAAGAGATATGCCCAATATACCCCATTTCATCCACCTAAAGTTATTCTAAGTCTGTGCTTGATGATGAAAACTCATTTTTTTGGGGGGAGCGTGCTATGATGTAGTGGTTAAGTGCTTCACTGCTAACCAAAATATTGGCAATTCTAACCCACCAGCTGCTAACTGGGAGAAAGATGTTGCGGTCTGCGCTCACAAAGATTTACAGCATTGGAAACTCTATGAGGCAGTTCTAGTCTGTCTTTTAGGGTTGTATGAGGTTTGGTTTGGTTTGGTTTTGGCACAACAAATAACCATGCCCTTCTTTCCAACTCTTTGGCAGTGACAGAAATTATTCTGACCTTGGACTCCAATACCTACGTCAACAGATTGACTATGTTCAGCGATGAGCCAGTCATCAAAGGTTTTGTGGTTGCAGAAATTTTAGAGTCCAATGAAACAGTTGCTTCTCAAGTGTTTGTGTTTTTCCAGTATCCTAAGATCTCTATAGAGGTGAGCTGTCTGTGGGCCAGACAGGGCTCCTAGAGTGGAGTAGGGGCCCAAAGATCCCTGGGGGGGTTGTGTGTGTGTGTGTCCCTGGGTGATTTGTTCTTTAGGACAATTGTACTTTTAAGTAAAATGGTACCTTGCTTTTCCAGGCTGGATTTCTGGAGAAGTGATGGTTCACATATATTTTTTTTTTTTAGTTTTTGGTCAATTGAATTTTTTAAAACTCCAATATTTTGCATATAGTACAAAAATTTTAAGCTGCAAAAGGTTATAGTGAAAAGTTTCTCTCCTACACTTTTCTGCAGCCTCTTAGCTCCTCTTTCCAGAAGTGATTCATATTATTAGTTTGTGTATGTGTATGTATGTATCTGCCTGTTGTTGTTGTTATGTGCCGTCGAGTCAGACCTGACTGGTTTCCAAGACTGTATCACTATGGAAGTAGATTGTCCAACCTTCCTTCTGAGGAGTGGCTGGTAGGTTTGAACCACCAGCCTTCTGGTTAGCATTCAAGTGCCTTAGGCACTATGCTACCAAAGCTCCTGTGTATCTGCCTAGAAAATGTGTACATGTCAACTATTTATTTACTTTTGTATTGTATACTTTTTTTTTCTTGACGATATATCTTAGAGGTTGTCTTGTAACACATACACAGAGGTTTGTTTTCATGACCAAGAAATTTTCCTTGACAGGCTGCACCTGCTTCTTTAGTCAGTCCCTATTCATGAGAAGATTATTTCCAATCATTACTTTAACAGACAAGACTTTAGTGTCTATATATAGCATTGGTCATATGTCATTCAATGGCTGTGGGAACATACGTACATGGCAAATTCAGAGGATTTGGATTATGTGCTACGTACTTTAAATGCATTTTAAGTACACATTTACTTAAGTAAAATTTAAGACTACTGGACTACATCTTCCTTATTAAAATGGAAACATTAGACTGTTTGTCATTCCCATCTCCTCCTTCATATGTACGGTATCTAGCTTGCTTCTTCCACTCCAAGCAGATGAAAAATCAAGCTGTTAGTGCTATAGAGAACAGCCTCACTCTTCTCACTGCTTAGTGGGATTCTCATGGCTGGGAATTCTGTAGTTTATTTGACCTTCACCCGGCTGTTGGAGATTTAGGTGGTTTCACAATTTTTACCATTACTATCAATACTACATGAATGACCTTGAATTTTCAAAATTTTGTCAATAGATGCACAAAGAAAGAAAGAAAGAAAAGAAAGGACTTGGTTTGAACTTGCATCTCCTTGATTTCTTAGTGAGATTGGGTATTTTTTCACACTGACCATTGGGTTTTCTTTACTGGCAACTGCTTTTTTATATCTCATGCCCATTCCCCCCTCCCCCCAGCTGAGCTGTCTTGTTCTTGTTGATTTGCAGGAATTATAATGGGTCAACACCCCAATGTCTTGCTGTTTTGCCCCTATGTCCTGCATTGCACATTTGGGTGGTGTGGTGTCTGTGTCTGTGCATGTGTGCCCATCAGTATGTGGGCTTTTCCTCCAAGTGTGGCAGCTTGAGGTCTCTCCTGGGACCTTGGTGAATCCTGTCATACTACTTCTATATATATATATTTTATTTATTTTATTTTTTTTTACTTTGTCTACTTAATACTATGGCCCAAATTCTCAAACAGAAGATGAGAAGCTATGCCTTTTCACAGACACTGAGTGGGTGCCTACCAGGAGCAGAGATTGGGAGGCCCTGAATTTAGATGAGAGGTGGAATGGGAAGCTTAGCAAGAGTGGAGTGGCTCCAAGCCCTGCTCTGAAGTGACCAACTGGGCTGTGTGGGGTGGATATTTGAGTCTCGTCCATAAAATGCGTGTTACGGTGCAGAGATTGCAGGCTGTTGTGGGGGCTGCATGGAGATCATGTCCAGCAAGTGCAGGGCTTGGCACAGGCCCAGGGGCCTGTGGGATTCACACCCAGTGCAGAGGGAGGTGGAGCCACGTTGGCTGCTCTGGGCCTTACCTGTCAGTTACAGTTTTCTGCTGGGATAAGGCCATGCCCTTGCTGACAACTCCATGGCAGATTCCTCTTACAATCACCTCTTAAATCTTCTGATAATTCACCCAAGGGGATTGCCACAAAGCCCTTCATGTCTGCAGCTCTGGCCTATGTGAGGGCTTGTCAGGGCCTTAGAGATGGGGACCTGTGTGTGGCCCATGCCCCAACAGGTGCACTTAGAGCAGGGACTCTGGGTAGACTAAGAATTTGGCCTCCCTGTAAAAGACTGTTGTTGTTATGTGCCATCGAGTCGGACCCAACTCATAGTGACCCCTCCTTGGGTCTCCGAGGCGGTATCACTACGAAGTAGATTGTCCCAGCTTCCTTTCGAGGAGTGGCTGGCGGGTTTGAACCACCAGCCATCTGGTTAGCAGTCAGGTGCCTTAGGCACTATGCTACCAGAGCTCCTTGTAAAAGACTAATCCTTGAAAAATCCACTGTTGTTGTTGTTGTTAGGTGCCATGAAGTCGGCTCTGACTCATAGTGACCCTACATATAACAGAATGAACACCACCTGGTCCTGCGCCGTCCTTGCAATTGTTGCTCTGCTTGAGCCCGTTGTTGCAGCCACTGTGTCAGTCTGTCTCATCGAGGGTCTTTTTTCTCCTGACCCTCTACTTTCCCATCCATGATATTCTTCTCCAGGAAATGGTCCCTGATAACATGTCCAAAGTACATGAGACAAAGTCTCACCATCCTCACTTCTATGGGGCATTCTGGCTGTACTTCTTCCAAGATAGATTTGTTTGTTCTTCTGGCAGTACATGATATATTCAATACTCTTTGCCAATACCATAATTCAAGGCAACAATTCTTCAGTCTTCCTTATTCATTGCCTACCTTTCACATACATGTGAGGCAATTGAAAATACCATGGCTTGGGTGTAATGTGTGTGTATGTGTCTATGTATTCATCCATGGCTGGATATAACTCATCATTGTGGTTCTACTTCTACATTTTAGCTTATTATGACTCATGCATGTTTTCTGTCCCTTGTTTTCATTCCTACCTCAATACAGATGCCTGACACAGGCAGAGTTGGCCAGCCACTTGTCTGCATTTGCATCCTCAAGAATTCACTGCACATCCCTTTGACGAATGCCAAGTTCTCCTGGGAAGGCCTGGGCATTTCCCCACGGCAAACTTTGAGCCAAGGGTGAGTCTTCTCAAGGTATTTTTACAAAAAGGGCAGAAACAAACTCTCCAAACATACATTGTTGTACTTGTGTGCAAGTATTTCTGAAACAGGGTTTTGAACTGGTTCAAAATGGTTCAGTTATTGCCATCCTAAACAAGAGTTGCATACACATTGCATAGCAACCAAATCTGTTACCTGTGGTATTTTGACCCCAATAGGAAACAGACAGCTGCCTTGCTCAAGATGGCAGCTGACTGTCCCCGCTTTGAATGTGTGTTACTTTCCAGAGTCCTGTCAATAATCTAGTCTCCTGCATCAGGCTCCTGAAACTTTTGGGAGGAAGGACTGTGGCAGGACTTTTAGAGAGCAACTTATTGGCATGACTCTGGAGAGCAAAACACATTCAGAGCAGCACAGTGGACCACAATCTTTGAGCAGTGTACAGCTGCTTGTTTCCTACCTGGATCAAAATACCACGGGTAACTAATTCTGTTGCTGTGCGATCTTATGTGACCGTGTTTATGATGGCAATTACTGAATTGTTTTGAACTGGTTTGAAGCTCTGTTTCTGAAATGTTAATTCCCAGGGTGGGATTATACAGTCAAAATATAGCTACCATTTGATAGTGCCAAGTTGCTTTTTCAAAGGATTGCATTGATTTATGTTCCACCAACAGATTTTTTTTTTTTTTTTTGCCAATCTAGTGGTTAAATGATCTCATTATTGTTTTAATTTGCATCCCTGATTATTTGTGATACTGAATATTTTTCTTATGTTAACTATCTTGTATGAATTACCTATTCATATTCTTTGCCCATTTTTTTTTACTGAGCCATTTATCTTTTCATCTTAATTTGTGTATGCTCTTTACATAGTAAGGAGTGTTATGTGATGCTCATAATTTGTCACAATCTTTTTTCTTAACTTCATGATGTCTTTCATCATCGTTGTTGTTATGTGCCGTTGAGTCAGACCCGACTCATAGCAACCCCTCCTTTGGTTTCTGAGGTGGTATCACTACGGAAGTAGATTGCCCAACCTTGCTTCCGAGGATGTAGCCCAATTTGTCAGTCTTTTCCCTTATGGATATTGAGTTTCATATCACTTCAAGAATATAGACATTACTCTTCTATACTTTTCTTAATTTTTGGCTTTATGTTCACAATTAAGCATTCATCTGGAACTTAATTTTTTGTATGTGAAGTGATGTAGTGCTCCAACTTTATTGAATCATCTATCATTTTCCTAATATTTTGAAATGCTACCTTTATTATATTGTTAATTCCCATATATATCTCTAGGTCTCTGGACTCTTAATTTGTTTATTTGATATGTCTTCTCCAGTGATGCAGTGCATAAGGCATTTGACTGCTAACTAGAGGTTTGTGGTTCAAACCTACCAGCTGCACCGCATAAGAAAGATGAGGCAATCAACTTCCATAAAGATTTACTGCCTTGGAAGCCCAATGAGGGGTTGTTATGAGTTGGAATTGACTTGATGGCAGTTTTTTTTTTAATGCAATACCACACAATTAAAATGACTGTGGTTCTATAGTACATATTGATATATAGTAGGGAGGTTCCCCCCTTATTATTTCGCCCATAGAACTTTTAGAATTATCTTGTCATACTCATTTAAAAGTTGTTGGCATTTTGATTGGTACTGCATTGAATTTATCAATTCATTTGGGGGAGAATTGTGACAAATGGCAATACTGAGTCTTCCCATTTTGGAACATGGGATATTGATCCATTTAATCAATTCTTTGTGACTTCGGGAAAGTTTTATTGTTTTCTTCATATATAAACACATTCCTAGTTGGAGTAATTCCAAGGTATATTGTGGCTTTTGGTGTTCTTGGGAATAGAATATTTTTTGTTGCATTTTCTAATTTTTGTTTGCTGCATACAGAAATGATTGATATTGATTTTGGTATGCTGATGTATCTAGCAAAGACTTGACTGAAGTCTAATGGTTCTTGAGAGAAGGTTTCTGGTGGCCTGTTCTCTGATGGCATAGTGCCTAAAGCATTTGACTGCTAACCAGAAGGCTGGCGGTTCAAACCCACCAGCCATTCCTAGGAAGGAAGATGGGGCAATCTACTTCCTTAGAGATATTGCCTGGGAAACCCAAGGAGGGGTCACTATGAGTCGGACCAACTCAACAGCAGCGAGTTTTTTTTCTTCTTTTTCCTTTGTCTGTTTCTTACAGGGTCTCTGAATCTCCCACATAAAAAGCACCAGACTAATCTCCCAAGTAAAAAGCACGTAGACCAGGGTTTCTCAAACTCCAGTGTGCATATAAATTACCTGGGGGAATATTGTTAAAATGCAAATTCTGAGTCAGCAGGTCTGGGGTGGGACCTTAGATTCTGGGTCTAACAGGCTCCCCCCCAGGTGATGTAGATGCTGCTATTCCTGTACCACACTTTGAGTAGTGAGGAATTAGACAATTCCATGCATGTGGATTTCATAATAAAACACAGGTTCTTCTTGGAAATAATTGTTAATATCCATGAAATGAGAACATTTGTATACCCAGGCAGGGTTCCCCAAAACATTTGCAAAATGCTAGAACTGGAACACCCTTGGAAACCAGCTAGTCCAGCCACTTTGCTTTACAAAGAAAATTGAGGCCCATGAATAGCTGAGTCATCTGAAGTCCCAAACCTGGGATCCCGTATTTGAGCAGTGCCAGACTGGGGTCTGAGTGCCAATCTTTTCCTCAACTAGCCAGTGGACAACGGGCAGACCTGAGACTCTGAGAACAATAAAATGAGGGTAATACTGTTACCTGCCCTGTCTACTTCCCAGAACTACCTGGAAAGTCAAATGGGCTGAACAGTAAGAGGAAATGTGCTGAGTGATCCGTGTGTCCCAGGTCTGTTTGGCCCCAGAGGCCATGCTTGTTCCAAGCCCGACATTGTCTCCCAGTGTGAAGATGATTGGGAAGGAAATCTATGAACTAGGGTGCACAAAATCAAACTGGCCAGACCAGTTGGAGATAATAAGGGAGGCAATGGGGGTCATGGACAGGTAGGAATGAAGGGGACGGTAGCAATAGGAGTGGTTGCTGCTGCTAACCTCAGCTAGCCAAAGCCCCCAGCACTGTGGGAGCTTCTGAATTTTCTGAATAAGCCAGAGGAGGGTGTATGGTGTTTTACGGTGTAAAGCTTCTGGATCTTAAGAGATGGCAATTGATTCAAATTGTGACGATCACCATGTATGAGAACAGGTCCTCAGCCTGCTGATTTGGAAGCAGTGCTGCCACCGCCAAAATGCTTCCAGTGGTCCTTTACTTGTTTTGTTTTGGCTATCAGGGGCCCTGGCCTGGCACGAGGTCTAGTCATAGTACTTGTCAAAAGCTCTCCAGGCGGTTCTAATAGCACCTGGGGTTGAGATCCACTGCGCCGTGCCCGTGAATGGCCAGACCTTTTCAAGGAGGCCAAGCTAAAGGCAGGGGTTCCTCATGCAGTGCACCTCCCCTCTCCTCCCAGCATTCTCAGCTGATCACATGCCTGTGTGCCTTTGCATTTTCCAGGATGGTGGAGTCTGGTCAGACCATCAACTTCCAAATAAAATGCACCCCAGTGAAAACTGGATCCAAGAAATTTATCATCAAATTTACCTCCAATGAAGTGAAAGAAATTTGTGCTGAGAAGAGCATTCTCATCACCAACCAGCCTTCCCCTGAAGACGTGGAAACAGAGGTGGGAGTCCCACTGGCTCTGAGGCTTTTCTGAGCTTTTCAGCATTTCCTACTTTGGGATGACCTTTTAGATCATGGGTGATTAAATGTAATTATGCAGATGAGGGCAGATTCAAGAGCCAACTGGGTGTAAGGTAAGGAGTTCAAAGGCCAACAAGACTACACCTACAGACAGCCAGACCCACTAGGCCAGGGTTTGGCCAGCCCAGAAGTCCTGCCAGCTATGGATGTTCTCACATTGGGTTGGGCCTTCTGGAAGTGCATCGACTCCTGTCTACTGCCTGCCTGAAATCCAGGGTTCCCTCTCCTGATGCTTTACCCCCACCCTCCTTGGCTTCCTCTCAGGGCCCCTAATCTGAGGAAAGAGCCCCCAAGTAGCACAGTTCAGTGCTTGACGATTATCTGAAAAGATGGTGGTTCTGACCCACCCAGAGACACCTCAGAAGCCAGGCCTGGTGATCTACTTCCAGGAAATCAGCCATTGAAAACCCTATGGAGCAATTCCACTCTGACGCACATGGGGTCGCCATGAGTCAGAATCGACTTGACAGCAGCTAACAACAACAGCCTGAGGAACAGCAGGTGGACTGGTGGCTTTCCCTCTGAAATTGGCTTGGTATGGCAGCACAGAAGCAAGATGGATAGCTGTTCGCTTGGTACAACTTCAGGCAGCTTGAAATGGTGGCTGCCTTTGACCCAACTCCATGGCTGTATGCTCTTCCCCAGGGTGGGTGAGGCAATCAACTTCCATAAAGATTTACTGCCTTGGAAACCCAATGGGGGGTCGCTATGAGTCAGAATCAGTTTGATGGCAGTGAGTTTGTTTTTTTGGACCCCATATATACTGAATCAGAATCTGTATTTTAATAAGATCTAGATTGCAATCACCTAGGGATCTTGTTAAAATGTAGATTCAGGTTCAGTATATCTGGGGTGGAAAGGCAAAGTCTCAACAGGAGGTTGAACCAGAATGAAGTGGTTGAAAGCCTAATTTAAGCCCATTCTGAGCTCTTTTTCCGTCCTCCAGAGATTTGCTCCAGTGATCAATATGCTTTTTAATTAAACTCTGATTGCTTCAAGATGATGATACGGTCACCTGAGTCACTTTTTTTGGTTTGATTTTTAAATGTGAACGAGCTTCTTAAAGATTCCTGTGTTGGGTGTCACATGGGCACTTGGGAAGCCAGTGGGTGGATCCTTTGAACTTCCCAGGCCAGGGGAAGTTCCAGGGGCCAGGCTTCTTTGTTTTGGGCCCTGTTGAGGATATCCAGCCCCTCTTTCAAGGGCTGTCACCTTAACCACACACACACCCTGGGAGGGCACATATATAGGTTGAATGAGGGCCATTTTGCATGTAATTTGTATGACATTCTGGGATGGGACACCTAGATCAGATGTCCTGTCCCCTAAGGCCCACCAGCTGGGCTGGGCTCTAAAGCAGAGAAACTCAATCCTGGTGCCTCTTACCCTAAATGCCTACCTCCCCAGCATCCAGTAGGCATTCAGTAAGTGCTTGTGGGTTGAAAGGTGATCACACCTCTCTCCTGGAAATAACACCCAAAAGATGACATAGAGAGAAGAGTTTAGTTAGTGATGGCCCCTGGCACAGCATCATAATCCCTAGAGGCAATAAAGCCCAGCATGGCAGTTGTGCGGGATGCTGTGTGGACAATCGCTTGTTTCCCACACTGGCAGTGGAAGAAAAGCAGCTTTCCCAGTGGTGCCCCTGGAGGTGATCTGAGGAGAATGGTGCTACCCAGGGTTTTGGGGTTCTGGAGACTCCAGCCACTGAGGCTGAGCCAAGAGCTTTTTACTCAGAGAAAGAGGCAAAGGTTTGTGGCCAGCCTCCTCTTCCAGTAGGACTCACTTTGTTTGACATCATTTGCAGTTTCATCAGTTTGAGGCTAAGCAGAAGAATGTTATGCTGTCAACAGCTGCTGCTGGTGTGGGGGCCTGAGGTTTGGGGTTGGGCCAGTTATTCCCATATAATCCTGGCAGAGGCCCAGTCCAGCACCTCTCAGAATGAGGGTGATGTGGCTGAGGCTCTTGTGTGGAGGTGGGGTCACCGATGAGGGCTGTCAGGGCAGGCTCAGACTCTGAGCAGGTGGAATGGCCCCACTCCCAATCTTCCTTCCCAGAGCAACCAATCTAAGAAAACAGAATTGGTTTTGGGGTTGGTGGGTACCTCTGCTTTCAGGCCAAGCTGGCCTTGAAGAAGGTAGTTTTCACACCCAAAGTGCAAGGACACTTCTCAAGGGCCATGTGGTTTTGCACGCTTCTGACCTCAGGCCTTGAACTGAGCACTGCTGTTGTCTGTGGTCCCAGGGTAATCAGAGAACTGTCTTCTCTTACTCTTAACTGCTGTTTCCTTGGACCCATGATGCTGGCACTGTGTTCCTCTCCAGTGTGGAGTCTCTTTGGTATTCAATCCACCATGCTGGCACTAGGGCTGCCTTCTGATGAGTGAGGAGAGCAAACAGGGGGCCCCAAGGTCAAAACAGCTCTCTCCCAAAGCACTGAGTGTTCATTCCCTGTCCAGACTATGTGTTAGTTGGCTTTAGAACCGACTTGGGCTGCTTGCATTGTCATTAATAAATATTACAGCTGATACAGACCATGAATATAAGCCTGCAGCCTGGGCATGCCTTTCTGGTTACCAGTCAATGCTAGAGGCCTATGATTGCTCTCTAATGGGATGTAATCTGGGCTCTGAGCAGGGGTTAGGATAGAGGCAGCTTTGTGAACACTGACCCCTCTAGGCAATTAACCCCAAACCCAGGGGGGCGCTCATCACCTGCAGCCAGAGGGTGTCTCTGACAGGATCACCAGTGCCCAAGGATGCCGCCTGAGAGAACTAGGTTGCTACTTGGTTCTCCTTTGTTTCCTACGTTCACCCCAGCCCTCCTTTTTAAGTGTCCTTGTGCTGCACCGCCAGACTGTGACTTCCTTCTCCATTAAATTGGGGCTAAAGGCCCTTTTGCATCAGGACTCTTGCTCTGTTGCCCTGGAGCTGGGAGAGGGGCCCTAAAATAGAGCCATTGCGCCCGCAGCTCTGCCTTAGTGCTTAAGCCCCCCACAGAGTGTGATACTATTGATACGGGGGAAAGGGGCCTAAAAGAAGAACAAAAGCTTAGGCTTTGTTATAACAAATTGGGACACGAACCCTTCTGTTGGGCTTTGTGCAGAAGATGCTGCTTCAGCAACCATTGGGAGCCCAAGAACCCCAGTTCAGACCTTCATTAATGGCCATCGACACCCCAGGCTTCAAATGGGGTGACTTGGGGCCCAGGCTTATTCTACTAGAGTGTGGTGTGTGTGTGTGTGTGTATGTATGTCTCCAAGTTCACCAACTACTCATTCCTTCAGAGAAACAAGATGAATGTGATCTTGGAAAAGCTGGCACGAAACACACAGGCAGGGTTTTTGGTCAGCTCTCGACCCATATGGGTTGTTAGATTTCCTCCAGGAGGGAGAATTAAATTAGCTTCTCATGGGGGAAGACAGAACCCCCAATAGCCCTAAATAGGTACAACCTTCCCCTCCACTTGTGAGCGATGGATTCGTGAGACGCATGCCTGGCTACAAGGAGAACAATTCTAAGCTGTCTGACTCTCAGCAGTCTAGTGTCTTTGAAATGGGTGCTAATTTTTGGTGCCAGTATCTTAATTCAGGCTCATTTCCAACCTGGGTATGTTCCCGTACATGTGTGTATAGCCTAGGATTGGGGTCTTTTCTCAAACCAAACCTTCCCCTTGAAGGTGGCTGTGCCTTTCTATTAACTGAGCAGTAGTGGAAGCTCTTTCTAGGCTGGTCTCTCTGGTGACATTGTGCCACCCCAGGCCTTCAAGGCCAGCCTTTGTCCTGTCCTCCCATCATGGTCTTAGTTCTCAAAAGTCAAGATCCAGGGCCTCATCTTTCTCAAGAGAAGGCAGCCATCCCAAGGAAAGCCAAAGGCCAACTCTTTTCTGTCCCTGGGCTGCCCTGCTCAGAGCTTCCTTTGTTGGGCAGAGGCTGTGAAAGATGGGAAGCCTTCCCAGTCTCAGAAAATAGCTCCTGATGACCCCTCTCAGGGCAGACTCTTAGTCACGTCTCCCTCTGCCATCCCACCCTGAGACCTGGCTCAACAGAGAGGGAGGAGGGAGTCACAGGGGATGGCAATGACAAGTGAATGGCCTCAGAAGAGCATCTACAGCATCTATCCCATGAACCCTTTTAGGCAAAACCCCAGGACAAAGGTTGACGGGACTGTTTCGTGTTTGGTTCTCTCCCAACAGCAGCAGCTACTCATCTATCACCTCCACAGAGTCCTCGTCCTTTGTCTCCTCTGACTGCTCCTCTGTTGTCTCGGTGTTGTCAATGTCTGATAGTGATGCTGCCCTCCGCACCAAGTCCTTGTTACTGGGGGACTCTGGCTGGCATGGTCTGGAGAAAGGGTTGAACCAGTTCAGGGAAAAGTTCCCACCAAAGGTCTCTTTTACCGTCTTCCAGCTGCCCCTGTGCTCCCTGGGCTGATGTTTTCGTTTGAGGCGCTCGATGCCCTGGAGGGACAAGGTGATAGGGTCAGTATGGTAATGGCCCTACGCACCCTCACACATGCCCCCAGCACAGCCACGGCACAGCATGAGGCCAGGGGTGGCTAAGGTGGGGCCTGGGAGGCACAGCCTGCTGTGGGCCAGGCCAGCCCCTCAGGGGGCTGATGAGGCATGTGTGTGTGGAGCCGCTTGGAGCAGCAAGCAGGACCTTCCTGGGAACTGGCCTGTATTTCCCACCCACTCAGCCCTCCCCCCTCTCCTTCCACAAGCACGAGGGACTGCCCAGCCTTGCTAAGGCCAACTGCTGGGCAGGGGCCTGGCTGCTGGTGGCCAAGGGCCAGTATCCCAGGCCTCTTCTGGCAAAAGCTGAGCCACCCATCCAGAGATCACTAAAACAGTGACTCCCTTAAATATTTTTGGCCACCCCCCCCCATGGTAGGCACAGCAGAAAGCACGAAGAAGGATGACAGGGTTCAGGGAGAGCACAGGATCCAAACAACAT